TAAGACTCCATGGTCACTGTGACAGTCTGCCAGGTCACCGGGACAGTAACCCAGGGTCACTATGTAAGACTCCCATGGTCACGGGTTCAGATTCCCAGGTCACCGGGATAGTTACAGAGGGTCACGGGCTCAGTCACCCAGGTCATAAAGACAGTCTTATTAAAGTCATCGGATCGGGCCTCTGCGAGCGTACTGTAAGCCTCCCTAGGTTATCGGAATAGTATTCCAAACTAGGCGGGTTGTTCTACCAAGGGTCGCATTGTTGTGTCCCTGACGCCAGCATGATGTAAGTCAGCTGTCGCAAGTGCGGTGAGATAATTAACCCGCGCGGGGCTGGGGGGGGGGGGGTAAATTTTACCCCCCTCGCGAATTTTTGCAATATCTCAAAAACGGCGGCGCGCAGCGCCGCCAAACTTTCAGTACCTTTTCTTACATCAATTTGACACGTTCCCTGAAAATTGGAGCGAAATCCGTCGGAAAATTTTTGAGAAATTGACGTTTTAGTGACGTCATGTTCGTCATTTTCGCCTCAAAAACGGCAAAAGTTCAAACGCCGCTAACATCTTCATTTTTAAAGGAATCAAGACGTAACAAAAAAGGATATACGTAATTCTACTGTGTCTATCAAATGGCTATCTCGTTTTTTTAATTTTGGATTTTGGCCCAAATTTTTTTTCTAAAAAAACTGACTTTTTTGGGAAAATAGCTATAAAATCCAAAATTTTGAGTGTATCGAAAAAACCGGAATATATGTCAGAGAAGTGGTCTATGTGTACCTACATACTAAGTTTTAGAAGAATTGGTTCAAAAATGTGGGAGTTATTCAAAATTTTGTGACGTCACGACACACAAAAATTTGAAAAAATGACTTTTTTGGAAGTTCTAGACCTCGTACGGAAACAAAAATAGCACCATTCGATTCGCCGTGAAAAACAGCATCAGATAGACACCTTTTTAGGCCTTAACAACCAACTTCAAAATTTGACCTCACTTGACCTGACCTTGACCTGACCTCGACCTGAAATTCATCCAGAGGTGGTCCATATCACTTATTGAGTGTGCCTATTGAATTCTATGAGTGAAATGACCCATAAAACATGTGTCGCACATGCCCTTTTCTATATTTTGTTTTTGGTGACCTGACCTGACCTGACCTGACCTTGACCTTGACCTCTGAATGATATTGTATGCAACGACTATTGTCTTGGTAGCCTAAGAACACGTTTTGGGCGATCAGTCTCAGTCCATGACTCCATTCTTCGGCAACTACGGTGCAAGGCCGATACTGTAGGAACTTGCAATTTGTACCCTTGACCTGACCTTGACCTTGACCTCAAACTTAAAATTAAGTACATGTTTTTAGTTTTTCGTGATGAGATCTTTCGATTGGCGTTTGAATTTTCCAAATCGGACCATTAGTTCGGGAGATAACAGGGGGGGGGGCAAAATTTACCCCCCCCCCCCCCAGCCCCGCGCGTTCGGCTGGAGACCCCAGCCCCGCGCGGGTTAATGTATGAAACTTATTAAGCTTTTAGGCTTTCAAGCGATATTCCAGGCTGATCTGCTCGCCGCTCTATTTGCTGGCGAGTGCTTCAGTTGATTGATTAAGCAATAACGTAATAATGACGTTTGCTAGTCATTTAAGAGTTGTAAGCAGTCATAATGATGTTATGGTCATTTGGAATGTGCTTCGGAGGCTAATTTCAACCCCGACTTAATCTCGCAAATGATCAGTACCCTAACGATGATTGGATGATATTATCATGATCTTATGGTTACCGATAGTCATTACCAGCACTTCAGATTTTATTTAATCTAATCCGAATTCATTTTACAATTTCATAATAAAGTCACTGTTATCCGCGAGCCCAAGCCTTTCACTCATAAGCGTTCACGAATGCATTTGCTAGTACTGTCTACCGATCCGATTCGGCAGAGCCCACGTCTTTCATTAGCGCTCTGCTGGGGGCGCCTTTGACGGGTGACGGCAGGCCCGTCACGGACGTCACGCGCTCCGTCACGGCCGCGATGTGTTTGGTTTGATCGGGCGCGTGCCATCCTGCTGACCGGCCGGCAAATAGTGACTAATTGGAGCTGAGTTGGCGCGGTGCTGCCCGAAATTCAGCGCCGAAACGGCGTGTTCTAACCGAGGCGGGCTGCGCTGGCGAGCGGCAGATATTTCCCGGCTGGGTTGGGTGTTTCATGCTAAATGTAGCGATAATGTATACAAATGTACATTCCGGCAGCGGTTGAGTAGCTGAGAAGTTAAGTGGTGGCTATGTGATAGCACGTTTCTCTGGGAATATGCAACGTTCTTTAAGACAACGACCTTATGACCTGCTGGGTATTGTAAGCTCACACGTAGGTATCTGCTTACTGCTGAATTCCCCAGCACCTTTTTGTGTCGAAATTTTCGAAGGATCTTATTCAGGCACCTTCAAAATGCTCAATCAGAAGTGTCAAGAAAGTAAGGCATTTTTATATCTTTCCTTCTTAATACGAAAGGTAAACAGGCAATAGTTTTCCCCACGCTGCTTGCAGTTTTTGGCCATTGTTTCTACGTGTGCTAGCCTATTCGGTGCACTGTTCTTACCTGTAGGAGAAGTGTTTTGGTATGTTAGTTATCACACTGACCTTCGATTCAGCCCAGTCCTATATCAATGGCTTGGTGAGTAACATCTTTAAAAACTAATGGACGTGCCGTTAAACTCACTATTCAACCATTTACCATTCAGCATGGTGGATGAAGTCGTCTTTAAAAAGAGCAAGTAACCTTAAAAAGTGCTCTTCTCGGTGACTCATTGTCCGTGGAGCTGGCTTTGTGAGACCGTATTCGCGATATTGATATGACCACGTAATGTAAGTAAGAACAACGACTGATTACCCTGTCAATGTCTTTTAGGGCAACCCGTCCAAAATTTCCACATCACTCCCGTTACAGTGCGCACCCTCAGACATCAAACGGCGGCTCCAATGCCGCGATCGCCACCCATTTGAGTGAAATTAGCGTCTCAGACGTCAGGACGACAATGTCCACTGGCTGGGCCGGTGTACCGGTATCAGCGGCGGTGTCGGTCCGTCCGCACCCGCTCCGTGTCACATTGTCACCCCGCCGGTGTCACCGGGCCGATATGCGTCTCTGGGGGTGTCATCCGTCACGCGGTGACATGCCGGTGGTGACGGTGACCGCCGGTTGTCCCGCTGCCAGTACTGGGAACATTGGCGAGAACGGGCCCGGGATGGTGACCTCGGCTGGGCCGTGGGAACCGCTGGGAAAGGCTGAGCACTGAGACTCTGCTGACTTCATACAGGGGTAACGGGACACAACGGTGACGGCAGGACAAGACGGATCTTGAGCGGGAGGTCCGGCAGGGCACGTCGATGGCCAGAGCGAACGGTACGAGCAGCTGGAAATGGGGCGAATCTGTGAGAGGAGGTTATGATAACGGCGTATAACTGCAATAGCCTATTCTTCCAGTCACGGCTGCAAACTTGCCAGACAGGGACCATTTCTTTCTATCACAATAGAAAGGACTAGGGGAGGAGACTCAAGGGAGAAGGTTGTGGTCTACAATGTAATAACATTTCTCGTTCAATGGATCCGGCTCTGTTGATTCTTTTAGATTGAACGAGAAAGCGTCCTTCAATTTTATGAGCAATATGCGGAATGTAAGCATTGCTTTAACTGCGAGTTGAAGCTTAAGATAAAAATGCTTAGCTGTCTGTTGGTTCTCTTGTATCCGGTTCATTTTGGTTTCCATTTTTATCTGCAGTTAAATCGTCGTTTCCATAATAAACGAATTTTTCGTGTACATGTTGTGCCTTTTCCTGTAAAATATTTCTGTGTACATCTGAAAATGACCGAAGAATTTTTGACGTACATACATGGTTGAAGAATCACCGAGCCTGTAGCTGGAAGAGTTGTCAACCTAACGGCACACGGTGATGACGTTAGACGTTGACGAGTTGTTGTTGTTGTTGTTGTTCCTCCCGGGCGACCTCTAGGGTCGCCCGTCAGCCAGCGGCTCCAGATGGCGCCTGAAGCCGCGGGCCAAGGCCGCGACGACGTCGCCGTCGCGCAGCTGCGCAGGGTCCACGTGTATGTTGCCGAGCAACCGAAGGCGCAGTCCGGCGAGACTCGGGCATCGGAGCAGCACATGCTCCGGTGTGTCCGCCTCCTCCTTGCACACGATACATCGCGCCGCAGGGCAGTCCTTCTCGGGGCAGCCGGGGCACGAGTTCGTCGGAAGGCGGCCGATACGGTGGAGATACTGGCGGGCCATTCCCCAGTGACCGGCCCTCAGTTGGTGTACATCCACCGCCTCGCTCCTGCTCACGCCGGAGACCGGGCTCGGCATCCGGTCTCCCCAAATTCGCCGGAAGAAAGAATCCGGCCACGACTTGCGCCATGCCTCTGCAGCCGTCCTGGCCACGGCGCCCGTGATGGTGCGGACATCCGCTGGCGCCTCCTGCTGGAGGCCGGCTGCTTCTCTCGCCAGCTCGTCCGCCTTTTCGTTGCCGGGGATACCGCAATGCGCTGGTACCCACTGCAGCATCACCTCTTGGCCTCTGGCGGAGATGCTGAGCAGCAGGGCCCAGATCGCCGCGCCCATCGGGGTGGTCTGCGATCCCGCCCCTCCGGCCAGCATGGACAGCGCCGCCTGGGAGTCGGTACACAGGACCACGGGTCCCTCTGCCTCGGCACCTGATAGGTTGCTGACCTCCTCCAGCGCCGCTTTGATAGCGCACAATTCGGCGCGGGTGCTGGAGCACAGGCGTCCTGCGGCGACCCTGATCTCCCTGGCCTCCCCGTTCCTGAGTATGAGGAGGGCGCCGCCGCCGCCGTTCGTCGTGCCGCCCTCCGCCGAGCCATCGCTCCAGATCCAGGTAGCGGCTTCTGGGAAGGTGGCGAGGTAGTTCTCGGCGGTCTGGCGGCGAATCGCGGCGGGGGCGTCCCGGCTAGCAGCCCCGCTCATGTTCGGGGATATCCTGATGGTGCCCGGGTCAGACCACGGGGGGAGCATCACCTGCAGGCGCTCCTCCACCGGCACATCCTCCAGGTGGCATGCTCGGAGGGCCTCTCTCCCTAGGCGTCTCCAACCAGTGGTCGACTTCAGTCGGCGAGGGGGGTCTTGATCGGCGATCACTCGCAGCGGGTCGTCTTCAGGTAGCGATCTCGCCAGGCAGAGCATCCTGGTGGCCAGAGTGCCTCGCCTGACCTGAGCGGCTGGTAGTCCGGCCTCTGCCATGAGCGGTGCTACCGCTCATGCCGTCCGAGGGACCCCGCCTTCAAGTGGTGGACGGTGTTGGGGTTTCGGCCTCACCGCGGCGTGGCGAACGCCGAGGAAAACCAAACGGGGTCCACCTGCCTCCCCGATGGCGGTCGCCGCGGGCCGACGCCGGCGCGCTGCTGTCGCGCAGCTGCGCCATCTCAGCCCAGCGTCACGTTGACGAGTTCGGGAGTCAGCTCGAACCACCACCGCGAACGGGCCGAGCTGGGCCTAAGGGTCAACAGGTCAATGATCTTGTCACCAATGGACTCCGCAGTCTGCATACTGCCAGCGCTGCGGCGCAAATGTCACAAAAAGCCGAATGTGTCGTACAGTCTACAGCGCTGGCATTGCATGTTCCTGCATAAAATTTACAAGTCGCCACATTAGACTTGTAAGCATGTCCATTAAGACTCGCTTTTAAAACGTCCGCGAAAAAGTGGCCAACAGGCCTGGCTTGAATTATGCCGTCTGCAGCGACGACCTCGGCGGTGGCGGCACGCGACTGAACGACTGGCGCCGCGGCACGGCACTGACTGGAAACCACGGCAGAGTTTTCAGCGCTGGAAAGGAACAGCTCTAGTTGGTTGAACGGTGACTGAGCTCATGACCGGAAAGTACAGTTTGAAGTGACATTGCGGGGCTCTGCTGGAATGGCCTTGGCACTTGAATTCCCCTGGCTTGTTGACTGCTGAGTGTTGTGGTATGAGTGATTGAGCTGCATTTATGATTAATTTCCTTAAATATTTAGAACACACAATTAGATAAGAACAACAGTGATTCCTAGAAAAATGGTGATTCACTTTCGTTGTGCTGGAAACTACAAAAAAAAAATGTGTCGTATGGCCCAAAACCTCGTGGAATAAGTAAGCATCATGTAATGAACGAGTCAAGAGTTCAAGCTCCGTCTCCGTGGACTTCTGATACAGAGTTTAACGGTCCGGCGATAGGCCCCGTTTGCCTGGGTGATTTATGTAGCATTTGGGATGGCATCACGACCCGAGAATCGTCCGTGTATCTTACTGGGAGCGGTGGCAGACCCGTGGCCGGCCATTCACGGGAGGTCACGAAACGCCTTTTTGAGATGCCGAGCCCCTATCAAGCCGGCATAAATCTTTTCTCAGATGTTGTCTTGATGTCAATATGTGTCGTGTTAAAAGCCAACCAGCGGAGAAAACATCGCGAAACCGCCTTAAAAGAATCCACATGACTTCTCTGTCTTCTGGTGATTGGCGGACATACCACGCTCGTCGCCATCGGTCACATCATCGAAGTCATCGAAGCCTTGGATCTCATCGAAGGCTGTAAATGGGATTAACGTGCCGGCATCATGGACTTGCTCGTGGCGGCACCTCGCCCCACGTCGTCGTCCCTCAGTGATGGTCAGTCAGTTGGGAATTCATCTGGCTTCGGTGACTGCAGCCGCGCTGGTCCGCGCTGACCTGCCTCTCCAGCCACATCTCTGACCCAGACACGGCTGGTCAGAGTCTCGGACGGGGTTTGAGTGCTGTCTGAGGTCCCTGACGTGTTGGAGAGGACTTTGACTCGGGACAACGGGTGACAGTGCGGCGCTCGCGAATGGTGGTTATGATCAGCGAAAAAGCCGTGGTCAGATCCCTTCGCAAATCGCATCACAGTAGAATGAATGGATATAATAAAGAATGAAGAGCACATATATGGCGAAATCAAGATGTGCATCTAATGCTTCTGAAAATGACCTCTTCAAATCTGCTGTGGCATCCGACCAAAGGAAATGCACTTGGTCAAGCTGGAATGCATAAGTTGGGTAATGACTCGTGCACAAACTTGTGCTTTGGACTGCACAAAGTCGGAGGCTTGTGAAAAAATCCTCGCTAAATACTGGTATTAGCTGAGTAAGTAGGGTCACCGCAAGATTTTTTTCTGTGTCCCGGAATGAATGGCCCGACGAGCTGTATCAGTAGCCGGATGGACGAGAGATGAGCTCATTTCTAATTCTTTTTCTCTTGTGTTTCATAACAAGTAAAACGTGCATCCGGTTATGTGACGATGGACGCATGTAATGTTTCACTTGTTGGCTATAAATGATCATTTTAGCAACTCATTGGTAGACAAGGTGTCCTTTGGCTGGCCGGAGGGTTTTGAATTCACTAACAACAGATCCAATCTGTATTGACGCTCATTTTCTGTACAGTGCCGATCATAGAACACCCTAGCAATGTTGACATTTCCTGAGCCAGTAACAGTCGCATTTATTTGTCGTTGGCCTGTCGTGGCGCCGTCGCTATCCTGTCGAGGCCGGCGCGCCGGGCACGTTTTGTGACAAGTACACGGGAAAAGGTCCGATACAGTCGTCTGCGCCCCGCCAGCCCATTGTGCCGCGGCCGTAAAGCCGTGTAGCTGCAGTCACGAGCGGCGCTCGGACGGCGGCGGCGGCGCGTGCTGTCTCGTGCCGGGCTCGTGCCGGGCTCGTCGTGGCGCCACGGCCGCCGTTAGGACAGGCTGCAGCGCTGCAGGTCAGCAGGGACGTGCCGTGGTCGGACGGATAGCCGTCAATGGAGTGGCGTGATGACCGGCAACAGACAGACAGCAGATGTAATTATCGATGACGCCGCGGCAGGAGTTACGATTGTTGAGCAGGCTGTCACCCTGTCATCACTGTTGGTCACCATTGGGACATTGTGCTGCTGAATGAAACATTTGCAGGCGTCTCGCATTACGTCACATATTTTGACCGAAGTCGTACGAGCTCCTGGTCGTGTCGCGATCTCTGCAAAGGGGCCTCCCATTACATAACGCCGTCCAAACGCAGTTTTGCGGTTGGAATCGAGCCGGCCGGCCGCCCGCTCCCTCCTCCCAATCTTGCATGTTAAGCTGGCCGGAGCCTCTGATACCGCTAATGACGCCTTGGTTCGGTAATGCGCGCGACCGAGCGGCGACGGCGCCTCCGTCCGCCGCCGCCGTCTAATGCAGTTGTCTTGTCCAGGGGCTCAATGCATCACGGGTGTGCCACCGTGTGGGCTCTGTCAGGATTATTCATCTAAGGGGCGCTGCGGCGGCGGTGGTGTGAGGTGCCATCAGTGCCCAGAGTGGCGCCGCTGACCTCAGGAGTCTGCCGCGGCGCCAGACCTGTCGAATGGCCAGACACAGACGACATTCACAAGCAGGGATACCGCTACCTGCGCAGTACCTACCTAATCCAGACAGAAAATACATGGCCGACGGTTGTACCGTAATTGGGGGATCATTGTGAAAGCTGGAGCGAGTAGAGAGCTGCATTGCCGGATGTGTTAAATGATAAGTTTTTTTTTTAGATGCCTTCACAAGATGCTATGCACTTAAGGTGGCCTGCTAGTAGCTATCAGCTAGGGTTGCACTAATTGCTGATATGCCTGCTTTGTCTTATTATCAGAGAGAATCATCGATTAAAACACTGAAATAACTTCATAACATAAAGATATTTGCTGTAAAAGAGATTAGGTGCAGATTTGGTCAAATTAGGTGCACTCCCCGGATAGCCCGTCGTGAAAACGGCTAGTGTCCGCTTTCGTTACAAATGCGCCTCATGATTTGTCCCTAGGGAGTCGACGTGGATGGTTGTGTCGAATGCAACATATCTAAGGCGCCGCTCAGCGCATTGCGACAGTCATAAGGGCGTGTTAATACTGAGACCGTGTTCCGGCTCAAAGCTATCAGCACAATCATGGGTGGTGTGAGTTTTCTGCGTTATAAGTAGCAGCTTGGACCGGCGACTTGAAAGGCGGCAGTGTCGGAGACGCCAAAGGAAACGCCTCCGTGTATATTTGTCCCAGCCCGGCGGAATATTTATTATTTACCTAAGCCCGGAACTGAATACAGGCCTGGCCTCGACCATCGCTTTGGTCTCCAATAGGCGTTCAGGTCTTATGGCCAGGACTTATGCCGGCTCTCCTAACCGGCTAATGCCACCCATTAATCGTCTCAAGATTGTTATGATTCGCGTTTTACTGTTATTTGCACAGTGTCTCTCGCCACAGTGTCTTCCGTTTGGCCGGACGATATGCCATTAAGACCGGGGCGCTTACGCTGGTGTTTGTTTTCATTTTGCTCGGTGTTTGATAAATCCTGCCAGCGCCTCTTGTAAAGTGGCTCAGCTGTGCCCCATTAATAGTGTTTGTTTTGAAGTGGGATATTATTCAGCGCTAACATGACTATATCTGCCTCTATTGTTTGTCCTAACATCGGTCATGATGACGCCACTATCATTATTTTATTACCCACTAGCTTACCATTTCAATGTCATCACCTAATTACATCCACCATTTACCGCCCTTGTAATCGCTCTTTTATGTTTCTGGGATGGTGCAGGCGTTACCGGAACTGCAGTCATCACCGTTAGAAGGCACATCACCGGGCCTTATCCCACATCGGATGATTCAGTCGTCTTGTGTGCGTATGTTACGCTGGTTTGGCGTTCATGCAGCACTCAAGAACAATACCAGGAACTGCCCTCCCCCGGTCTACCCTCCCCCACTCACAGCAGTGTCCCCTCGCCCGTCTCGTGTCTCGCCCTGGTCACTGTTGACTGTTGAAGCCGAGCCAGACCAGATACGGACCCAGTCCAGGAACTCAGTCAGCTCTCTGCACGAACAATCTGTGCTGAGGACACCGGAAGGAGGTGGAGCGGGTCACTGGTACGATACACCGTGAGCAAGCGGTGATTCACAGACGCACCTTATGTTACTGGG